AAAATGGAATCCACATTAGAAAATATCTTATAAGTGGAGAGTACTACATAGCATTGATGATCTACTAGTCTCAATTAATATGAAGTTCTGACCATGTCTGGAAGTGCTAGATAACTAGGGAAGTGGTGATGTATTGCATAAACAAGGTATAGGCAATCTATTAATGAGATCTGCATTTAATATAGCTTCTGCCCAAATTTACTTTGAAGCACATATTTCATATCGTAAGATCTTGGCCATTGGAGACCCTCTCTACGGATGATTACTAAACACCTTCAGAGCTATTGGTAAGGTGCATAATACTTTTGGAGGTCAATGTATAAGCTTGGTGGATAACCAAGAGCGAGTAGCTCGTTGCATTCTCATCACTCATGGGCATTAGTTTATCCAGATTCTATTTTTATTTCAGTGAGGGGTTGTTAGTTTTGGGCTGACATTTTTGTAGAGAAGAAAGGTGAGATTAGGAGATTAGTAGAATGTTAATCTTTTGGCTGGAGCTTTTAGGCATCAATGTGGTAGTTGATACAGAGATAAGGTTCAAGTTGGAAAATTAGTAAGTCCAGAGCGGTTATCTTGGTGCTTTAGTCTCTTTTATGGATCAAACTTGTCGTATCATTAGCTGCATCGCTTTCTATTCCTCATCCAATGGAAGCTTTGTTGGGTTCACACATGCCAAAGTTTGAACTTTTGAAGCCTTTACCTTGTAAGATGTTTGTGCTTCCTCAAGGATCATGACTGGTTTTGGTGCTGACTACCTGAGTCCTAATTGCAAAGGTTCCTCTCTTCCTAACTTGTCAGCTCATTGGGATTGATCCTTGGAAGGGTCTGATGGGTCGTTGTATTTGAGGCAAAGGATGCTGGTATTATTAGCACCATGTGTTCTACCTAATGCATGCTGTTGAAGAGGCCAAATGAAGAATGAAATTCATTATAGTTGAATAGATCCAGAGAACACGAGTTATGTGTTTTCCCTTCTTGTGAGATGGGTATGAGTAGGTTGGATAGTCAACATTTTGCTACTAGGGTAAAATGATTCAGAGATTAATGGAGGTAAGAAAATCTCTATATGAGTTTGTTTATCAGAACGTTTTGGAAATCAAATAAATCTGTTGTCTACTGAATAGGGGAGATGATGCAAAGGGCCCTAGGAACAATAGCAAAGGGGTTAGTGCAAAGGAAGAGGATCCAGGGAGCTTAAGAATCTTGTGCCATTATTAAATACAAAAGATTTGGATTGAAGGTTTTCAGTGGAATCAAAAGCTTTTGGCACATCAGTTTTTCTCTCTGTATGAAGCCTAGTTCAAACTTTGTGTTTCGCTTCATGAATATTTCTCCACTTGTTCTCACTTGATGTGCAACGAGATTGTGTACTATTTAGAAAGCATTGAACAATTTACTATCCTAAAGAAGAAAATCGACATTATGCTAAGGATTCAGGATTATGTACTAACGTAAATAGTTAGTAGGAGATGAGAAGAGGAAGACCGAGAAAGAAATGTACTTGAGCATTGCATTGCAAGCTGAGGATCTTAGACTCATTCATTCTTTTGAGAAACCCTTTGAGAAAGGTAAGAAAGTCAAAGGAATTAATGTATCTTATCATTTTATGTAAATCTGGATATATCTTTCTTAACAAGAAGAAGACAGTTCTGGACATTTGTAGAGGGCTTTTTGCTACTGCAAAGCGGTCACTTTAGAGTGCTTTGCTCCATAAGCATTCTCAAACGAGTGCTTTAATGTTGGAAAAATGCCCCCAAAACAATTGGAAGTTCCTTCTGTGCTACACATCAAAGCACTGGCTCCTAGCCATAGCAGTCTTCCAACATCAAACCTTCATTATGATTCCTTTTACTTCTCTTTATGCAGAAGAAGGAAAAGAGAAACAACAAATGCAACTCTGATTTTACTGCGTACATTCTTGGTTGCACTCTCTGAACCTGTAGTTAAAAAATGTATTTGAACAATACTCCAGGTTGCTCATGTGGTTTATGCGCAATGAAGCATAGCCATTGCCTTACTGGCAGCAGTGGTTTCCGAAGGGTAGTCTTAGTGCCCATTTAGGTACCTGGAAATGCATTTCTTGGAGAAATTCATTTCCTAAGAAAGGTATCTCTTGGGAGATACATTTCCTGGAAGATGGGTAAATGCTGTTTGGATAGATCTGGATGCAACCTGGAAGATAAATTTCCATTTTTTAGCTCATCTGGAAGATACATTTCTCTGAATTTTATTCTATTCGAGTATTATATGCATGTCCAACCTGTTGCACAAAATTATATGCACTGCATGCAATCTCTCTCTCTCTCGAAATTGACAAATACCTTACAAAAAAGGCATCCCTGCTCTTTATACATAATATATAACATTTTATGATCAAAATAAAAATATTGGCTATTCTATATTGTACTTCATTGAACCCCCCCTTCTTTATGCACTAAAATTATGGTCAAAATATACAACTCGACACATTTTTAACATATTGTCAACATTAAAAAGCCTATTGAGTGAAACTTAACTTGTGCATATGGCTTAAGGGTGGGCAAAACATATTTGGTTTCTAATGTCAAAACTAGGCCTCTCTTGTCGCTGAAGACCTTGTCTAATCAGATGCAACAGGAGGCAGCCATACATTTATCTCTGTTCCCCATACCCCAAGGATAGCATTTGGTAAAGTAGCTCAAACGACTGAAACATAACTCTCCAATATCTCACAAGACACTCTCAGTTCTGCTACAAAGTTGCAGCAATGTTATCCTCTTGCCTTCAGATGAGAGCTCTACTCCAAAGGTGCAGGATAATGCATACGGTTCTCCCAAAATGAAGAAGTCAGAATGACAAACATAGATAAAGAAGCATAGAGCTAAATTTTAATTTCCTTTAAACTTCCACTACAATAACTTCAAGCAACCAATAAGAGGTGAGATACAAGCCTCTTGAACCACTAGGATACTTCATAAACAATGTTGAAACACCCAAATTGAAATAACAAGCAGCAGTTTGTACACTCCTTGACATTGCATTCAGAGAAAAAAAAAAGGTCCCGGTTAACACATTACGTTTTTCTTCTTTCAAAAGAATGCATTGTTGCTCATTTCCTATTTTCTTCCTGTGCCTTCTCATAGTGAACTGCTATGTATCTTGTTTCCAAAGCATCCCAAATTCAGAAGAATTCATCTCTACAATTAATAATCTGAATCATATTTTATTTTCATCAAATTCTTTAAGCGATTAATTTTCATTGTTTCACAAGACTAAGAATTTCCCAAGAACGACCTCATTCGTCACTTAAAACTAGCAAATGTTTAAAGTTTCATGAATCAGAGAAACTCCCACAGTCCCACCAGCACTATAATGTATAGAAAGGCACTCTTTAGTCACTGTATCCACACTAAACATCAGGCGTTGACATAATTTTCAAAACAATAAAGACCATGACTAGCATATGGAATACGACGATGAAAACTCAAACAGTTAGCCAAATCCAAAACACAAACCAAGTCAATATCAGAGAAAACATTATTTATGTTTAAATTAAGCTCAAACCATAGATTAAATAGATAAATCACTATAATTGTACAAAATTTCTCTACTGCCTGTTGTTGATAGGCCATAGATACCATAGTTCAAGGCATGTGATAAAACCATAAATTCTTGTTCCTATTCTTTCTATGAACCAATAAAAAGCTTCACTACTAAATCCCAGCAGGGGAAACCCAACAACCATTTCACCATCTCCTCAGAGTATAGCTAATGAGCATTGGAAGCAAGAAAGCTGGAAATATTACTCATCAATTAAACGATTTAGGTTCCCGATCCTATTGAACCTCCAAGCATAATCATTGTAATAGCTCTATGGTGGTAGAACATGGAGGGGATCCTGAGGTTTATGGCTAGCAAGCCTCTGTTTTCGAGCTCCAATTCAGCTGCTTGATTGCTATCGGTGAATGCAACTTACCTCTGATAAATGAGCAATGTGGCCTCAGTCTGATCCACGTTTTTCTTCGACTTTTTCACATTTCTAGCAATTTCAGATTGGGTCGTTCATTAAACTAATTCTGATGCCCTTCCTAGCTGGGGAAGAGATTTGTAGAAAGAGAGACTTGCAGGAATGTTTAAACCATATCCTTGCTAGGGAAGAGATTTGTAGAGAGAGAGAGAGAGAGAGACTTGCAGGAATGTTTAAACCATATATACCATGCATCATTCATAAATATACCCAAGTATTTCTTCAAATAAGTGATGCCTCTTCCTTTTATGTTCTTCATGTTTAAACTGCATGAGCCCTTCCTGCAACTTGTCCAAGAACTAATATATTAAAGATGAGGCTGCTAAAGATTTCATGAATGCATAAAGTTATTTGCAGGAAGGAACTAAAACAGACAACTAGTTTATCATAAATAGCCAATGACTCACTGTTAAATTTTACCCATGAATTTTTGCTTATATGATTTTGTTTTTAAGATATGTTGCTATACTTTCTAGTTCTCTTTATGGGCATCTGCATTAATTTTTATTAGAATTTAACATTGAAGTCAATATCTTTATATGTCTGCATTTGTCAGTTGTATATGTCCTTATGCCTCTATGCCTGCATGAAAAGTAATATTGTTTTTCATATTCCATACCTCTATGCATGCATCAAAAGTCATATTGGTTTTCATAATCCATAAAACATTAAATTTGACTGGGCTGTTGGAGACTCAGTTTACAATGCTCTGAAAAAGGAAAAATGAATAGGTGCAGAGAACACTAATTGACTGCCACTGCATTCTCCTGCTTCCTCTTGTCAACTGCCCCATTGATAGGAAACCTAGCCGGTCCCAGTCAAATTACATAAATTGTTTTCCACTCCTCTTTACATGATTTAAATGTGGAAATAAAATAACATTGATTTGTGTTCAAAGGACCAGAGGGAGACCAATGAATGAATGCATGCATAAGTCAATGTTAATGTTATCTTTGTGAATTGCCATGGGCTCTGAAATCTTGAACATTTTCAGATTCGAACAAAGTTGGTTGCACCTGGCGGGGAAGCACTAGGCGGTGTGATCGGAGTTTGCCGTCACATGGTTAGAACTGAAGGTTTCTTCTCTCTCTACAAAGGGTTGTTCCCCTCTATCGTGAGCATGGCTCCATCAGGGGCAGTCTTCTATGGCGTGTACGATATACTTAAGTCAGCTTACCTTCATTCACCAGAAGGGAGGGAGAGGCTTAAGCAAATGCACGAACATGAGGGGGAAGAGTTGAATGCTTTGGACAAGCTTGAATTGGGTCCCATGAGGACTCTGTTGTATGGGGCTATTGCGGGTGCATGTGCTGAGGCTGCGACATACCCTTTTGAAGTGGTTCGGAGGCAGCTTCAGATGCAAGTGCGGGCAACCAAGCTCAGTGCTTTCGCTACGTGTGCCAAAATTGTCGAGCATGGAGGGATACCCGCGCTCTATGCTGGCCTTGTTCCCAGCTTGCTCCAGGTGGGTACCTAATCTCTCTCTCTCTCTCTCGGAATTTTGGTGGTCACTCAGGACCACCAAAGAATGATGTTCTTCCCCCCTCAAAGTTTACCTTTGATGTATTTGTAGGATGGAAAAGGCCAAAATCAGATTGTGTGATCACATAGGAACTAGATGTAGTTTTGTGGGAGTTCCTTAACCATTGAATTAGAGGTTTGATGGGGGTGAGAGTGGGTCAGTAGGGTTACCAGGTTAGGAAAGATTGATGGAGGGGTTCTTGTAGCAATCTTGATCCCCTGGCCCATCAAATTTGTGATTCTATGGTTGGACAGAAAACCTCTACAAAATTATGTACAATGGAGCCCCGATATTCACGCATTCACACACACAGACACAGGGAGACGATTTCCTATCTCGTACCCCTCTAGTGGTGAACTTAAATATATCCACACACACACATGGAGAGAGGACTTTCTATCTCACATCCCTATAGTGGCGGGCTCAGAAATGGTACTCCATATTTTATCAAAAAGTCCTCTTCATCCATGTTGCAAAACATTTTTGAATGGGGGTGTTTTCTATTATTTGCCATGGGCAATGGTGAATTCATTGCATAAAGCAAGGGCTGAAATTAGCCTCTTAACAGCGTCGTATAGTTTAAGCTGAATGTCTTTCCATTTTATGATTTTGTCGTTGTCCTTTGTAAATATAGAAATATGCCCCTTACCAAAAAGTATTTGGTTCACTGTTTCTCTCTGTGTTTTTTACTCCTCTTCCTTTTTTCTTTTCTGCCTATTGAACACCATGTGTGCGTGTTGTGATCGATTTTTACAAAAAGATAACTTTAGGAGAATGGCCTTTTGATTCTCCCTTTATTTGGACTTCTTGGTTTTCCTTGCTGTAAGTGGTTTAATATTATTTCCAATTTTCCGTTTCAGGTGTTACCATCTGCTGCCATAAGCTACTTTGTCTACGAGTGCATGAAGATAGTGCTTACAGTGGAGTGAAGAGCAGCACTTGCTGGCAGATGATAGTGTTTCTTTTTCTGAAAGAGGTGAGAGAAACCTGCCATTATTGGAAGTTATTTACCCCTTTTTTATTTTGTCCGGGTGAGTCTGTTGGGAGAAGCCCCTACCCTTCGTGAGAATTGAGCTTAGGATGTAGCGTTGCAAAATTGTCAAGCGCTGACCAATTAAGCTTGGGCTCTTGTCCTACTTATTTTCATGTTGATTATTGGACATTTGAGAGCGGTTGGATTCGACATTACTCTTCTCATTTTTAATAGGGAGAGGGGGAGAGAGAGAAAAATAGAGTATATTTTGTAATGTAAATAATTCTTTCTCTTTGTAGTCCGGGAGTTCAGCAAAACCATGATGCCAGAATCTGTACTCTATTAATGAAAGAGAGTTCAAATGATGCATGTTTTGTTCATAGAATGTTCCCATTTGAATCAATAGAATTCCATCTACAAGGTGGCTATTTCATATGATGTTTTAAATTTGATTATTTTAAAGTCCCTTCTATTTATAAAGGGAAAGCTTTCTATACTCCCCTTACTGTGTACAAGTTATATTTTTCTCTCTCCATCTAGCCGTTCAATTTAGATCAAGTGAGCTATTGACCGTTTGATCTAGATCCCTCAAAGTAGTTTATATTTAATTTTTTTTACATATCATATGAATATGAAATTTGGTACATGTCATCATCTCAATGGGGCACACCAAAAAAAAATGTAAAAAAAAAACATTCTCGATAAAATAAAATGATCAAAATACTTTAGTGGTATTTTGGTAATTTTATTATATCATGAATATATATTTTTTGTGGGTGCAAGTTTAAGAGAGGAGTGGACATGCCCAAAATTTTGTGTCAAAATATTTTGTAGAAAAAATGAATTATTATGAAATTTGGATCAAGTGAGCTACTGACCGTTTGATCTAAGATCCAATGCTTCAGAGTAGTTTATTTTTAATTTTTTTACAAATCATATGAATATGAAATTTGGTACATGTCATCATCTTAATGGGGCGCAGCCAAAAATATATATATATATAAAAACATTACCGATAAAATAAAATGACCAAAATACTTTAGTGGTATTTCAGTAATTTTATTTTATCATTATTTTTTATTTTATTTTGTAGGTGCAAGTTTAAGAGAGGAGTGGGCACGCCCAAAATTATGTTAAAATATTTTGTAGAAAAAATAAAAAATAAAACATTGTATAGGTGCGCGTCAAAATATTTTTTAGAAAAAATAAAAAATAAAACATTGCATAGGTGTGACATTGTAATTGCATTCGTATGAGTCATTTGTATCCGTCTCAGTTGGGCATTCAGATCGGACTGGTGGATGGTTCAGATCGGGCCCCTGGACTCGTGTATTTTCTATGTATAAATTATCTTTTTTAATGACCATTTTAATTATAAAATAAATCTAGTAAATGCTTTTATAAATACAATTTAACAACTTTATCTTGCAGTTGTGACTAAATTTAATTCCTAAAATTTAGTTTTTATCTTAGGTATTTTATTTCCAAATAGTTAAGTTTATCGCCGTTTCATCAGTGTTCAAAAAAGAAAAAAAGTAGTTAGCTTTATCTCCGTTTCGTCTTTTTTTCTTTACTATATAAATAAAAGAAGAAGAAGGGAAAACTTTATATAGAACTGAGGCTCTAAAGAATCAAATTAGAACCCGCCTTAAAAATTTCATTAGAAGAGGTTGTTTTGATACCTAAATATCTTCAAATTGATCATCTCGACATCAAGATGCATGGACATGAGAAAAAAAAATAGATTTTAAGTTTTGGAAATAGTGCATCTTATAACGCATTTTGGGCCGTCAATTTTCAAGATTTTCAAATTTTCATAGATCTGCTCAATCTACATTACTTTTGAAACTTTAAATTTTATAATTAAAGATGAAAATATATTTTAAGGCTACCATAACGATTTCCAGTATTGAAACCCCATTTCTCAATACTATATGAAGGTGGGCTCTAATTTGATTGTTTAGAGCCTAGGCTCTATACAATCCGCACCCCGAAGAAGAACAGGCTACTCCTTTAAAAACCCCTGTTTTTTTATGGCTATTAAAACTTAAAAAAAAGCTGATTAGTTGATATTGTAAGGAAGCGTGGGAAAATATTACCAAATGTACGTATTCTATGTAAAAGTGATGAGGAAATTGTAGATCTTTCGTTCCTCATGTGCTGTCATGCGAAAACTGTTTGAGAGGGGTGTTTAGCGTGACTAGGAATAGAAGTTGGTATCCCCTCGCAATCTGAGAATTTATTTGGTGGCAACTTTGGAAGATATGGAAAGAACGTTTCCTTTGGGATATATTGGTAAACCATGGATTGAATTGAGTGAAATATAAGAATTGCAGGTACTAGAAAATGGAAGTAAAAAACTGAATTTTGATGAAAGCTCGATGGAGAATCTTGGTTTTGTTGGTGTAGGTGGAATTGTCAAAGATTGTTGGGGGAGGGTTTTGCTTGAATACTACGGCACTGCAGGTAGAATTATTGTAAATGAAGCAGAACTGATATCTCTCCTTCTATGAGTAAAATTGGTTAAAAAGTTAAACAAATGGAAGGTGATTCAATGAATGTAATAAAATGATTAAATAAGAACTAAGGTTCGCATTTATACTGTATATAGAGAATGTATTTTGGAGGCTGATAGATTGGTTAAAAAAGGTATTAATGCAGATGCGTTAACAAAAATTGTCCAATTTTGGAGACAAGATCTAGGTGTTCAAGAACTTAAAATCTTTTTTTTTTTTAAGAAAATAATCACTAGATGATATTAAGAAGTATCACAAAATTTTGGATAAAAAAAAAATCCTTTCAATTTTCTCTTTTGCTTGAGGGAGTTACTGCACAGGATACTTGTGAGCACATAATACGTGCTACTAATAAAATACTAATACTTTATGGGCCCTTTTACCTACAATTTGGCACTGACAATGTGTTTTAGTCGAATGTGGTGGGCCAACCAAGACCTTGCAATTTATTTTTCACTCCAAAAATCCATGTTTTGAGGACCTATGGAAATATGCCCTCAAAATTTTGTTGATGACTCACTAACCTATTTTTCCAGAAAAAGTTAACATTACAATTGAATTTCTATCTTAACCAAAAGATTTATGCTTTTGAAATAGTTTATGATGAGTTTCCTGATCATATATGTTATGTTGACAACTAGATAACAAGAGCTCACATCTTATTAGTTCATTCCATTAATTAATTAAATTTATAATCTATTCAAAGTTCTTATGTCCCTTTAGATTATGATTAGAAATATTCAAAATTTTTACAAAATTTATAATGAATCTTAAATTTTTGTAAATATTATCTTTGAATAAACAAAAGGATACCAAGTTTAAGACCATTTATGTTTTAAAGTTATAATATTGTATGATTTTAAATGAAATTTGCAGAAAATTTTATTTTTAAATTATTTTTTATAGTTTTAAATTGCATTTTTTTACTACTTCCAACTTTGATTTTTTTAAAAAAAATTATAAAATTAATTAATTGATAAATTTATATTTAAAAAAAATGAATATATTAATTTAATTTATATTTTGATATTTTGATATTTTTAAAATTTTGAATTTCAAATGCTTATAAATTTTGTTGATGAATCATTAACCTATTTTTTGGAAGGATTTTAACATAAATGTTTTTCAATTTCTATCTTTGGCAAATTTTCCATGCTTTTAAAATAGTTTATGACCAGTTTCCTAATCCCTAATAGTGAATTTACTAATTAAATTCAAGGCTCGAGAAGAAGGTATTCAGTTGGTTCCATTTTTTAATCCTACCTACCTAGAGATTGAGAGTGACTGTAAGCTTGTGTAGCAACTGTGTATGATAGCTTGCAACCTCTTAGGCAGTTTTGTTATCTTATCTTCGAGATAAATGGTCTCATTGTATACAATCCTTTGTATTTAGACAATTAATCGTATCTTCCCGGATGCTAATGCACTTGCAAAGTATGCCACTAGATGTTCAGTGGCTACAATCTGGTGCTCACCACCATCAAACTTTTGGACCTTCTCTTGATTTTTGATATAGCCAACATCCCTTTTGAAGGGTCTCTTGCATAATTTTTTATCATAGTTTTTGTTTTTTAATGAAACAGGAAGGAGCCCAAACCCTGATGATTTATCCAAAATATAGAGAAATTATTTATGCGTAACAAATACTCAGTTGACTGTTTTTATAGAATTAGATAATTAAGAATCGATATCTTATTTGTTTGTTCGATTGCTTAAATAATGTTATATTTTATTTGAAGTTATCTTATGCCTTTAAATTTTGATTAGAAATAATATTTCGAAACTTTTAAAATAAAAATTCCAATTATGTAATTTTTAATCTATAGATTATTTTTCTTAAAAAAGTAGTATACTAATTTTAAAAACCGTTTATGTTTTCAAGTTCTACTGTTTTACAATTCTAAATTTAATTTGTGGATGCTTTTATTTTTAAATACAATTTTTAACCATATTATATTTTATTTATGACTATCTTTATATTTTTAAAGATTTTTGAAAATTTGCAAAAGAATATTTCATATTTGTTAAATTTGAATTTAAAATTGTTATATCAATAATTATTATCAAGATTTATAAATTATATGATGTGTGATTATTTTCATATATTATTATTTAATTATTAAATTTATTATTTATAGGCTATTTCTTTCTCTTTCAAGATTTTAAATTTAAATTTTAAAATGAGAAATATAAATTATGTTATCTTTTTTAATTACAACAAACCAATTTTGGAATTTTAAATGCTTTCCAAATTTTATTTATGACTCATTTTTTATTTTTAAAACCTTAAACATTAAAATGCAATGGCATTTTACATTGAAATTTTTACTGTTTAAATTTTTTTAATTACTTGATTTCATACATAAATAGAAATATGAAACCTTAGTTTATTCATTTATTGTTGCTTACATAAATTTCTATTCTATAGTTATTTCTAATCCTCCAAAAATTATTCGTAGTGAATCTTTGAAATTCTTAAATAAATTTTTTTTATTATGACATATCTTTGAAATAAAATGTGTTTGTATTAAATCAAAATACCGTGTTTAAGATTCTTAATGTTTCTAAATTCTAAGGTTTTTGTGTTTTCCGGTTGCTTTTGTGATTAATTTATTTATTTTTAAGAATATTTTTTAGAAATCTAATCTTAACATTAATTCAATATTTATCCTTTAAAATAGTTTTTGAACAACTTCCATATATCTTATAGTGAATTATTAAAGGGAAAATTGTAAAAAAAAAATAGAAAACCCAAAACTACACTTTTTATGCAACTTATCTCCAACCTAGTTTTTTCTCTCACTTTTTTTCCCGAAACTACCATTTCTATGAAAAACTTAACTTATTCTCTCACTTATTTCTCAAAAATATATTTTCTATGCAAAAACCCCCAACCAAAAAAAAAACCTAAACTACCCTCCCATACTTGTACCTTACCCACGCCTCTCTCTTCCCTATCCCACCAAAATAGAAGGCTCCGTCACCGTGTAAGTATGCGGTTCGGTAGTAGCGCTCTGACACTGTGTAAAGTTCGATCCGGCGATGAGGCTCTGGCTGACACTGTGTAAAGTTCGATCCGGTGATAAGGCTCTAGCTGACACTGTGTAAAGTTCAATCCGGCGATAAGGCTTTGGCACGGTGTAAAGTGCGGTCTGGCGGTAGGGCTCCGGTACTGTGTAAAGTACCGTCCAGCAATTGAAAAGGGCGGTCCGGCAGTTTCAGAGGCGGTTCGACAAACGGTCCGAATGTAGGGCTCTAGCATTGTATAGGCAATTGAAAAAGGCGGTCCGGCAGTTTCAATGGGTGGTTCGGTAGTTGCAAAGGACAGCCTGACAGTTGCAAAGGGCGGTACTGCACTTGTGAGCTACGGCAATGTGATGGTGGGCTTTGGCAATGTGCGATTGGGTCCAAAAGTCAACTTAGTCAACGTCAAATTTGTCCAAAATCATATTTGTGTATAGGAAGAGCATTCCGTCAAAAAAAAGTAAACTTTTTCTCTTGGAGGGTATTTGCATAGAAAGTTTGTTTTGAAAAAAAAAAATGAAAAAAATATTAAGTTGGGGGTAAATTGTATAGAAGTATGGTATTGTGTTTTTGTAATTTTCCTATTATTACATGCTTGAACAAATATGCTTGCTTTTTTCGAAAACGGGAAGTCAGAAATCATATGATGATTAATCATTAGGAAAAATTTCTAAATCCCCCCAGATAGAATGTCCTCCCCGTTGAAAAGTCCCTCAATTATCTTCGCTAATTTTTTTCACTTAGGCTCAAGGTACTTTATAGTGAAATTTATGACCAAAATACAAGTAGAAGTAGAAGTTTGAAAAAAAAATTCATCTCTCTCTCTCTCTATTTTTATGCCATATTCTTCTCACTCTAAGCAACCTCTTATTCTTCTCTTATTCTCTTATTCTCACTCTATGCAACCTCTTACTCTTCTCTTCTTATTCTTCTCTACGCTACTCGATTTTCTCTCTTTTATCCTTTTTTTTTTTTCCGTCAAGTTTGGCAAACTTATTGGATTTCATTATTATAGTAAAGATATACAATGCTCTCAAATATTAATTTAGTCCTTAGAGACCAAAAGCGTCTCCAAACCCACCCCAAACTTAACAAGTCCATCCGTCATTTTCTTTACGTAAGTCCCTCACTTCATCCATCCTCTATGGGAACAATCTCCAAGCAGCTTACTACATTTATTGTAGCAGATTACAACATTTAATGAGTCCCCCTTCTACCACACAAGACACAGCTGGAAACATTTCTCTAATAAGATTTAAACCTTGCAGCACCGTAAGAAATTCACCCTCATTTGCAGTTATATTGCAACAAGGACCTGCAAAAGTAAAGAGAACATCAGAAGAAGAGTTCCTTACAACACCACCTACCCCTGTCAACCCTGGGTTCCCAAGATAACTCCAATCAAAATTAAGTTTTATAGAATGTTCCAACAGTGCGTACCACATTCCTTTTGGTCGAAGATGCCAAGTAACGTTGTTAATAGTATTATTAAGGTTCTGCCAAAAATCCAATTAAAAAAACCAGCACTTTTTTAAGAAATTGAGAACCAATGTAGTAGCCTGCTTCTAATATCCTTCATATTATTCCACTCGTTCCAAACCTCTCATAAAATAGTTTTAATTGTGTAATTTGAATTCTTGTTAGTAAATCTTAATTACTCTACAATTAATAAAATTTCAATCAGATATATTGAAGTCCCATTGATCAACTAATAAATAGATTCTTGATAAAAATACTATAATATCCCACATAAAACTTGCCATTGAGAATATCTCAATAGGAGTCATTGTCACTAAAATGGTAGGTAGGACTCGATAAATATTAGGGATTCACTTCGCTATAAACCAATGTTTCAAAAAACAGCAATTCAAATCAGGAATCACAGATCTGAATCGGGAATTGGTGGGGACTAATTCACTATAAAGCAAAAGGAAAATATCCCATCCACATAATGTGGACTCTTCAGATTGAACGAGCCCATATCCAAGGGCCACAAAATAATTCCTTTTTATTTTAGTTAAATATGATTATATGGGCATAGATGATAGCACACTAAAAACTTGAACATAGGAAATATTCTGGTCAATTTTTTTGTTTAAAATATTTTTTATTATTTTTATTTGATGTCCCATATAAAAAAGCATCTATACTTCAAAATTTTAGACAAAGATTATTATTATTATTTTTTTTTAAAGAAAACAGAATTATTTTATGGCTGATGAATGAAACCAGGTTCAACCGTTCAAGCATCCATCACATGGATGCTATACCATCCCATAAGAGAAGCTTATCTTCATATGGGGTGCAAGCTTCCACCTCTGTATGATTCCTTTTTCTCAGCTTTTTTAACTTGAGCTTCTCATGGGTTTCCATAACCACTTGCTTATACCTCCATTTATCCACAAAGATCATTAACTGCATCAAAGAACTCTCCCTTAATCAAACCATACAAAAATACATCTACCAAGTTCTGGTCAAATTAAATACTTGGGTTTTACTTGCCAGAATTCACCATCATCTGATTCGTCCATTTATCCACAAAGATCATTGACTGCATCAAAGAACTCTCCCTTAATCAAAACATACAAGAATACATCTACCAAGTTCTGGTCAAATTTAACATCATCTGATTCGTGAAGTGAGCTGTCGAACATAGAAGAACACATTTGCAATAAAATTTTTTTAAAAAAAGCAAACCCTTCAACAACTACCACCACTATGAAATGCTAAGGGAAACAGGGATGAAATACTACCACCACAAAGGAAATGCAAAAGGATGCAGAGATGAACTACCACCACCACAAAGGAAATGCAAAGGGATACAGAGAAGAAGAGTTATCTCCTTCAAACATATGAAAGTTTATAAGATCCACAAAAACAAAACCATAACCATAACCAGAAGGAAAACAAAGATATTCCAAGAAGCATTCATAAGCATTGCATTCCCCAAAAGAGAAGACAAAAATCTAAGAATCATGTATCCAGAACATGAAGAATACAACTGAAAACCAGGGGTTCAGAGCCTACACTGCACTCCATTTCTTGGGTGATCAAAAGGTGCAAATGAAGCGGACATTTTCCAGAGTTTTCTTCAAAGGAAACCCTAAAGAATCTTCTCTTTGCCCTAATTTGTCTTTAACCAACTGAGCACAACTCCAAACAGGAATTAAAACCCACCTAATAGGAGGAAAAAAAATCCCAACTTTTCTAGCTAGAGCTTCCACATTTGGAGAAACCCAGCAAATTCCTCCCAGAAAAAGCCCTAAACTTGAGGAGAAATGAGCCCAGCAATCCAACAATGACTTCCTATGTTTAGAGAGCATAATCGGGCGAGAAAGGCCAAAATGTGTGCAAATTTCCAGACAAATCCATCACATGGTTAGAATTACCCAAAATTATCACCATCTAATTTTGCATCTGTGTAGAGGTTAGCAAGCTTTTCTGCTCTTGTAACCTATATTATACAATGCAGAACAAAGAGAAGCAAGGCAAAATCACAAGGATCACAACACAGAAAATTTTGACATTCAGTTCTTCTTTTCAGAGATATAACAAAACAAGAGTCATGGAATTCAGATTTTAATGGCTATTAAGCCTGTTTTAGACCATAGGCTCAGCATCAATTTCTTGAGTTTTCTTTGTTTCCCTTATGAATATTGAGCAAATTTTCTGCCTCTTCTCCAAAACGTAACACATATCTCTCCAAGAACGCCTTCTCCGATAAAACACAAATTGTCGATAAATTTGCATCCTTTTCCAGCAACTTTCTTGACCTCAACACTTTCAATAGATTAATCCTTGGGATCAACCTTCTCTCTAAATTATAACTGAATATATGTGGATGAAAACACAGATATTTCTCATCATATTTAAGTTCGTTGATGAAATAATCCATAGTCTTTTGCAACTTCTGTTCTGAAAAACAAAAGATTACAGGCACCTTTTGGAAAGCGGTGCGAATATCTTCTTCTGACCACCCAAAGCTCTTAAAGAACTTAAATTTCCTCTGCCATGTCTCCTTGCTCATCGAACTCATGAACCCAACAGCATGAGAGTACATTTTAAAGTGAGATTCAATACCCAATTCCTTAACTTTCTCTGTGATTTCTATAAGCCTAATGGACTTCACTTCAAATAAGGCCGTCCTTTTCAATAAGAGTGCTCTCAACTTCGAGCCGCCAATTCCCTGGCTCTCCATGAACCTAACATTGGACTGCAATCTGTTGGACACCAATCTACGACCTTGACCTTTGAGAAACTTCAAGACACCTTTGGGATCCAAGTAGTTTTTAAGGAAGAGAATGTTAGGGAGAAGTCTTTTGTTTAAGCTATACGTAACAATGGTTGGATATGCAGAGATGACGGCCCCAAGATCGAATTTAGAAAGGCCCAAATCTTCAAACAATTTGAATTTCGGTACTAGGTTTTTCTCGACATTGGCTGCAAGAAGATGGGGGCACTTGTTGATAATTGTATGGATATGGATTGCTTCAAAACCTTTGGCTTTGAGGAAGTTTAGCACCGAGAGAGCTTTCTCAGGGGTTTTGACATGGAGAAGCTGGGAAGATGCAGCAATGGCTCCTTGCTTTGAGAACCCAAAAGAGTCCACAAACAGATTAATCATGAAAGAAGAAGTAGATGAAGGTAAGGCCGTTCCATCATTAATGAGAGAAGAAGGAGAAGTGAGAGAAGAGGGTTTTGTGGAGAACTGTTGAACATAAGAATGAAGAGAGAGAGGAATGACA